CCCCCCCCATATTTCTTTGGCTGCTGCTGAACAGCATGAGGCTCACACCTCATGCTTGAAGTCTGGTAGCTGCTTCATCCTGCTGATCTGGCACAGATACCCTGTGCTCAATGTACGGGACCGTGGCTGGCCAAAAACAGTAGCATGGTATTGATTATCAGAGAACTGCAGCCGTTTGGCTAAAAGCCTTTCCTTCATAGAATAAACCAGAGCCATAGACACACTAACTTCTTCTGGCTATGACAATTTTTATTTCCCATTTTCCTCACAAATAAAAAGCTTTCCAACCATCAAATGGTTTTCCCAATTCAATGGGAAAACAATGGATTTCCTATTCACAGCTCTGGAGAGCACCCCTCAATCTGCAGAGAGTTAAATGTCCCCCCAGCACAGTTCTAAAATAAAACTCGTTAGAGCGGATCTGCATCAGGCTTCTGGTAAGATAGACTCTTTACTGGAAATGCTATCAACCGATCATCAGTGAAATAGGAAACTGCAGAGAACAAAGTTCAGTCCAAATAGCACTGTAAAGATTTTCACTTAAGATACAGAATAAAAGCAATGGAGAAAATTAAAAAGCAAGGCCGATAGGAAACACTGTGCTAATGCACTCCCTACTTTATATATTAGGAGATTTTGTCCAGTTTAAGAATACAGGCCTGACTCCGAGGCACCGAAGAGCATCCCTGTAACACTAAAAATAGGTTCACCCTTGACTGTATTCATGGATAAGGTAGGTATACCAACACGGACTGTGTCTCATTTCCAGATGTCTTTCTACAGGACCTTGTCTGGACATTATGACATTCGTATCATCACCAACACTGTAACTCCATATGTTGATTACAAAGTTATTTTCTGCCAAAACCAGAAGCAAAGCAAAAGCACAGTCAATTTTGTAGATGATATGACTGTTTGAATCTGGTATGATACATCAACACAGAATAAACATGTTTCCACTTATGGTAATACACCACACAACATGTATTACATGAACACTTTAAGCATCCCAAGTTACATGAATTCCTTTGCTCTGAGGCCTGCATGCTAGGCAGCCTAAAGTTTCAGACTCACCAAATTTAACGTGGACAAAACCAGTACTTCACAACTACTACTTCTGCATTCAGCACACTTGCATTTTTAGCCTCAGTTTTAATACAGTGAAGGCTCTGCACAGAAAGAAAAGATTTCTTCCTTCCATTTGTAACTAGTTCCTGAACTAGCTTGCCAGCTTGCTTCTATGAGGAAAGCATCACAAGAATCAGGAGCTGGATAGAGGAGAGGAACCTCAGCCAGTTCTCCTACTGCAGGGAAAGTGAGCATATCTCTGTCCTCAGATCACCATATGCTCTGAAAGGCACTAGGCAACCTGTGCATGTGAGGCTTTGGCATGGCTGCTCCCTTCTGGTGTGTGTGACAGAGTGGGAGTTGGAGTACAAGTGTACAAATCCAAATGAAGCCAGGTTTTATTTCTCCCACTGTTCACAGAATTTTAGAATACATTCAGAAAAACAATCAAGACAATTCTTGTCAAAGCAGTAGCAAAAGAAACGGAGGAGGAAGGAAATGCAAGAATCCAAATGTGACTTCTTCACTATAATTAACAGTTTAGCATAAAAATACAGGTATTCAGAAAACTGCAGGATCTGCACACAAATCTGAAAATTCTCTTTGGGAAAAAAAAAAAAAAAGGGTCTTTTTCATGTTTTTCACATTAAAAAAAAAAAATGGGGTTTAACTGCTACTAAAAATCTGCTGATTATTTTCTGAAACTACATCAGATACACCTTCACATTATCCATCCACACAGAGAAGTTCTAACAGCACACTCACCTGAAAGCTTATGTAATACCCCACAGACACCCCTGAGACCACATCCGCAGCTCTCAAATACATACTCAGTTCATTACTGGAAGTACTTCATTATATCACAACTTTGTCATAAGACAACATATTCATTGCCATTCTCAGTGAGCACAGCAGTCTCACACAAATGTAGCACTCTCAAAACTAGTGAGGGACCAATTCTTGAAACCTAAAGCCTAAATCAATTTTCTTTTGGAGAGAAAAACACAGCCTCAGTCTTCTTTCTTCAATAGTTCTTAAAAGATACACTTAGAACGCATAACATATCCAAAATATAATTATTTTTGGCCTAATTGATGACTTCACAAAACCTAATTACTGAATGAGCTTTACCTTACTCATTTCCTTCCAAGTGAACAAAAGACCTCTATTGAAAAAAAACTGTTGCTATCAAGTAGAATATTTTTAGCTTGCAGCCTTACATTCTTAAACCAGAAGCTGGCACCAAATACCTTTTTTTTTTTTAATTTATTTTATGTGTTTTGATTTGCAAGGGTCAATGCCATCCCTATGACTTTTTTTTATTCTAAATGTGTACGAAACACCTGCCATTGATTTTCCCTCATATTTCTAGCTTTCTGTTATCAATTCCAGAGCAATTTATTTTTACTGATTGCCATGTATTATTCCCTCATTATTTCCATATACTGAGAAATACTCCCATTCACTTCCTTATCAAACCAAGGTTTGTCTTCCCCACCAGAATTGCCCCTTTTTCTTGAGGATGAAGCTTTCTGATCTTAAAATAAATTCATCTGAAGGACCTAATTCCCATTCAAACTTTCATATAAAGATAGGGCCTCACAATCTTTCTTCTTGGTTTTAGAAAATTGTCCTCTTGGAAGCACTGGACACGTAAAGAATTACTAATTCGGAATGCTCTCTGTTTGCATTTTGTATGTTGAATGTATTGTGGCGACGACCTCTGATCCCAAGGGAGCTACTGGTTACTAGTGCAGCACTACCAAAATCCTGTCATGTAAGTCTAATACAGTCCTGAATCTCCATAAGGGCTACCATAAAACTTCTACATGACAAGAGTAATCAAAGTCTTACTGGTGGACCCATTTCTGAAGTAAGCACCACATGTATTTTCCATTTACCCCAGTCATATTCATAGTTAGAGTAACTTTTCCTTTTCTCAGGTTACTAAGTGTAATGCTATAATGGGATGATAATAGCAGGGTGGCAAAGTCTTCAGCTACAGCAAATGAGAGCGAGCCCAAATGCAGCAGCCACAGATACAGAAATGAAGGAAAAGTACCGCTTACCTTTGGAAGGCTTCAGGTATGCAGGGATCTCCAGCAAGAGACACCCTCACTTCCACTACCAACCCTTAAATGAGGTCTAGGAAGGGGTGGATCCTTGATCCATTACTTGCACCTTGAACAGTTGGCCCTGCCTTCCCACCAGGTACTCAATTATTGTCTCAGGCTGTAAATTAGCATTTCCACTACACCAAGTGAAGCCAGGGAATCAGTTCATGTAAATATATTAGTTAAATAAATTGTTGGGCAGGTATTGCCAAGAGAGGCAAGTTCACAAAACCGTAGAAATGCTGTTACTAAAAGGAACATTGTACCACGAGGTATGCATATTAACCTCTTGCCTGTGTGAATACTTAGACTTTTTCAAGTTCTCTCCTAAATGAAGACTCAAAAGCAGTAACAGAACAATTAAACTTGCTCATTCCAAGTTTTAGCAGAGTGAATGTTTCTTGCTTCATAAATATCAAAAGGTGATACCTCCATTCCTTAGATGTTAAAAAAATATGGAAAGGGTTTCTGTAGTCACTTCATTGCACTTTGACAATGCTTTTGTTCTCTCTAGCAAGCCCTATAAGGAGCAAGTAATAGTAGCCTCCACACACTTTGCAAAGAACTCAGAAGATTATATGCTCATCTATAAAGGGTATTCACTCACTTCTTGCCACTTTACAGAAAAGCAATGGGACTCCAGTATTGATTCTTCACAGTCTACTTCCATGCAAATAACAAACGATCATCATAGTGCCACTGTATGACAGGAGAGCATAGAAAAGTTGGGTTGGAATGTGCTCGTTGGAAGGACAAAAGAATATAGACACAGGCTGGAACCAGGGAAATTCTGACTAGAGATAAAGAACTGTATGAAAGAGAACATTGGAGCAGCATTCAGAGGGCCAATGGAACTTCCAACCTTAGGGAGACTCAAAGCCTGCAAGTACACAGCCCTGAGCAACCTGCTCTCAATGTGCTTCCCTAATAATTAACTCCAATGATCAGCAAAATATTTCTAAATAATTAATGCTTGGCTGTCAGCATCAGCTCTCAGATAGCTTGGCAAGCAACAAAAGCTTGTCCTAGGGCAGGAACATAGATTGCACAACCTTTTTCTGTCCCCTACAGCACATTTTTTTAACTATATTTCTAATAAGCTGCACTTCTATAGAAGCCAATAGTACCATGCTTAGCACACGCAGAATCTCTACTGGTTGCAACTAGGCAGAAAAGATATTCCTGACAAAAGAGAAAAACTAAGGCCTTAAACAGGTCAGAATAGCTAAGGCTGAAAGGTACTTTTAAAGGTCACCCAGCTCTGGTCCGCTAATTTGTGCTTACTTCCACTATGCCACTGACATCCAGTAGCAGTCATCTTTCATAGTGATGACACCAGTTGACACTACTATCTTTAAAAACAAAAAAACAACA